TATGGATTGGATGAAAATTCTATTACAACAAGGTTAATCAGTTCAATTTTTTTTTCTGTAAGCTATCGGATACAGCTGAAAACCGCACGACTTTACGTTCAGAACAAATTAATCTGTAAACTTTTTTTAGTTTAAAAGCTGATGGTACTGAGATAATTTCTGGATTTACGTGGACTATTGCATACCATAATATGCAAAACTTTTTGGAAGTACAAGACCTTGTCGAACTACGGTAATTATGTGCTGCTTAATTTAGTTTAGTTAGTTTAGTTTAATTTCGTTGCCAGATTTATGATAAACGCATAATGTTATTGATCATACTTCATCAATTGCTTTCAGACGCAAAGTTATTGCAAATTACTCTGAATTTTTCCAAGTTAGTTCTCACCATCCGTTGGAGAAGGTGCCAACTGAGTCAGCAGCCAGCGCTCCAGCCAATTTTTTGCAGACTGCAGGCAAGTGTCTTTTCTGAAAAAATTTTTTAAGCTAATAACAAGTTGCTATAATTTTTTTCTAAATTTTAGTCTCTGCAGTAATTTTGATGTCAGTATTAGTGTTCCTCTTCGTTCTTGACTTTGGAGCAATCGTTGCTGTAGTGTTATCAATTCTTTCAATCTGTATTGGTACTGTGGGCTATTTACATTTATGGGGTGTTCACCTCGATGCAGTATCACTTATAAGTATGCTTATGAGCATAGGGTTTTCTGTTGACTACAGCGCTCATATATGTTACCATTTCTTTACTCAAAATAAGGTAATTTTAATAGTTGTAAATTTCTTTGACAGTGTTTTCAAAGCTCGTTCAATGTTAAACAAGGGCTTTTAACCCAGTAATGAATGAATAAGCGTACAGTATAAATATACTTCTTTATTTTAGCCTAATGATACCAATTCGAAACCAACCAAAAAAAGTTCTTCAAACGGTATTTCTATTATTGTTGGAAGTGAAACATCTTCAAAAAATTCCAATATTCACAGTTCGTCGTCTCGTAGAACTGATACGCGGACAAGGTTGGAAACCACCTTCAAAGGCGTTGGGTGGCCGGTAATGCAAAGTGGTTTCAGCACTGCCTTAGGTATCCTTTTTTTGATATAGTACTATTAAATATCTAATCTAAAAAATGTCAGTCTAATTTGTAAATAAGCATTTTTGTAATTGAAGCAGTCGAACAGTTAGTTCAGAAATTACTTTTCTGAAGTTAATAAAGTCTTCTGTTTGACGAACCCAATAACAAGTTAAGTTAACGTAAAAGTTGAGAACAGTGTACAACACCAATTGCAGTCACCCTGTGGGATACACTTTTGAGCTGAAATTTTGTTTTCGGCTTTTACTTCTTCTTAAGTTAGCCCGGTTGTTCCTATAAAATTCTAGTCCCAAGTATTGAAAAGTACTTAAAAAATCACTTGTGAAAAAACTGATTATATTATTTTTCACGAAGAACAGTCCTAAAAACTTTTCTAAGCGGTTTTGAAATAATGTCAGTAAAATCCGCTCAACCTCTACACTAACCCATGCCGTTTTTCTTGAGACTCTTTTAACGGCTCGAAAAGATTATATTTCACAATTTTTTTTTTTCAAATTCACAGTTTTTAAAAGAACGTTATTTATTTTGCAGGAATGATTCCCCTTGTTCTGATTCGAGCCTACGTAGTTGCAGTATTTTGGAAAACAGTACTCTTAGTAACAATATTAGGAATGTTTCATGCTCTATTTCTGTTACCAGTAATATTTCTAATATTCAGTGATCTTTCTTACCACGTAAGACGAATATTTAGGTGACTTATTTTGTCTTTTAATATTTGTTCAGTAAATGTATTATATTTGTCGTCCTTGGTTGCCTATATATATATATATATATATATATATATATATATATATTTCTTGTTTAACGAAACGTACTGTTGTACTATATGCTCATGCTCTCGATCTCGTCATTTTATTGACTGAGAACATAAAACCATTAACTGTGTGCAGCGCTAGTTCGGGGGTTTTGAGCTGTTATTTGTTATTATTCTCTTGACTATCTGGTGCAGAGATAAGTTGTTTAAGAGAATTTGTATTATAGGGTTAGGCTTCCAAACAGGAAAAAATTTCACCTTTTTGTTGAAAAATTTTATATGAGAAATTCTGGGCAGAATTACCAGTAATTAAAAAACGGGATAAAAAAAATAGAAGGAGAAAAATAGAAAAAGGAAGACGAAGAAAATGTGTTATTCGCAGTTATAATACAATTTCTTGGGAAAAAGGTATTATAAAATTAACATAGAAATAAATGTGGTCAAAATTTACCAGTGCTTACATTGTATCTCGTTTTGGTTTTTGTACCAGAAATTTAAAAATACAACTTTTCAACTTCTGTCTTTATTGCATAACTTGAATCTTATTGCATCCTGGTTGCCATTACCCAGTCTTTTACAGAATTTGTAAATATTTTTGCAGATGTATTACCTTCTGCAATAACAGTGAAACTTGTTATAACAATTTTTTTTATTTTTCTTATTCGATTTTTTTTCGTGCAATTTTTAAGAAACCATACCACTTTATGGAAGGTTTTTTTATTTTTGTAAGCAGTGACGCCGTGGCTAAGCATGGACTGGTAAACAAAGTTTTCTGACCTTTCCTAATTCACGCTTATTCAAGTCAAAAATTTACTACCGTTGCAAATCTGGTCTTTCTGCTCTATCTTTGAAGATAGCAGTGTAAACAGTGATTAAGTGTGTGTTAGAACGAGCGACACAAAGATTTAAAATAAATTTAATTAACCTTTATTTATCAGTCTGATTTAGAAAATTAGTTAAAGTGGGTTGATAAAGACTGGGAAAAGTGATAACATTTATGGTTCTTTTAAAATTCGCGAGCAACATTTGGCGATTTTAAACGAAAATTAATTAAGGCATTTGATTTTTGCCTTATACTTTGCGGGTTGGTATCTGTAAGCGTTATAGCTCATTACCTTTCCAAGCCTTCGCAAAATTTACCGTATTGACAGATTTGGGTATTTCTTCTGATTGGTTTTAATTTAGCTTTTTTTTTTTAAAGTTCGTACTTTTCATTCCTCGTACCTTTTGAGATAAGTAGAACAGAGGGTGGTGAAAAAAGCCAAAAACGAAAACTGAAAAAATTGGGTAAAACAGCTGTTTTTCTGCGAGAGAAGAAGAGTGAATACCTGCCTTGCAGTGCCTGTCATTGTTATATAATATAACCTTTAAAAAAATCCTCAACAGAAAACTTTGACAATTACTGATGTGACTCCACTGATAAAAAGAAGGAAAACACATTACTGATGTAATTTATCTATATTTTTTAACGCAATAAAAACTATAAAAGTTTTGATATTAAGAAGTCGTTATCTTGCAAAAAAGCACGCAGAATTGAGGGCTACTAGTCATTTACCAATCAGTCTTTTTGCTTTGCTATAGGATTATGTTGTGTTGTATTTTTGGGTATTACCATTACGTCACAGGGTATATGTTGTTTTCAACAATGGCTCTGCTCTGTTATCACAAATAAATAACTATAATCTACTTCTCAGTTCTTCATTACAGTTAGTTCTGTCTTCAACTGTTTATCTTTTTCTTTCTTTATGCTTTTTGAACTGTACTGTTACTGTTTTTTGTGCCAGATATAATCTATCGTTGAAATGATGCTTCTCATATTTCAACTATCGTTCCACACGAAATAATAAAATGAGACATTTATACTACCTGTTTTTCATCTAATTTCAAAAAACAAATGGCAAATCGTGTTGAAAAAGTAAAAACCTTTAGATGATTTGCAAATATATTTATAATCATCATGTCCAAGAAAGATGAAAACATGCGTACCCGATACTCTTCTCAAGTTAATAATTAAAAGCACAGTCTAGGTTACTTATAGTTTTAAAAATAATTTGTAGACAAGCGTTTAAGCTAGCAGCAATCTGATTCTGTGAGCAAAAAAGCAGTCAGTATGTGGTCTGCTTAACTTCTTGTCGGCACAAATACTTTTCTTCCAAAACCAGTACGACAGATTTAATTCACAGTGAAGAGCGTATAGGATGATAAAATACAAAACTGAAACAAAGTTGTATTCATTTTAACAACGTTGACAAGAAAAATTATCGTACATATAACATTTTCTTCGGTGCTGACATGAATTTTGAATGTTTGGCTTTAAAACTACAATCTCAAAATATTTACGCATTTTCTTCGCATAAATAAAAAGCAATTATACTTTAGTACATAAACTTCTTTTTTTCCAATTTCTTACTCTTTTTACCATTTGTTTTAAAGTTTAATAATGTGTTTTGCCGTTAATAAATAAACAGAATTTCCCTGAAAGATTCAAAACAGCAAAAAAATTTTGGGAATTCAAATCTTTACTGTTCAAAACATTGTCAGATGAAATTCAAGAAAGCAAGTGAAAACAAGATGGCTTCTAATCACTTTCTGAATTGAGATACGTGACATTCACAAAATGCAAGTAACTCATTTTCTCATCATTTATTTTAGCTGTTCATAAATATCAAGCTTTTAATTTGATTCTTATTATCTGCTGTTTTTAAAATCTATGTGCAGTATTTCGACAACGTGCTAAGTTTTCTTGACTTTTTAAAATACCGTTGAAAAAGCCACTTTAGTGAATTCCGACACAGTTCCATGCAAAAAGCAGAGTAACACTTACACTTAAAAATTTATTCAATTCAAGTTTAACAATTAAAAGCACTTACAAATTGACTGTCAATAATTCATGTCTCGATAATTCAATTTTGAGAGTGCATAAATATCTTATCTGTTGCGTTTTAAAAGAAACTTTGCAACAGCAGTTTTTCTGTCTCATTAGGTCTTTGATATTTGTGTTACACCGCTGAAGTTCGTAATTTTAACAAACAAACTGTGAAAAATTATGTCATTTCCTTACTGTAATAACACAGAAGGAATAAGCGACTGGAGTTTCAATGAGTTGAAGACGAAGAAAGAAGTGGTAAATAAAGTTACTGCAAAATAAGGTGCTTATCAGACTGCTGTTGTAATCATTAGAAAACTCACCTTGAAGGTTATAGATCGACATACCACAAAGTTTCTGAGTTTCCGTTTATGATTCTGATAACTCAATATTTTAAGTTGGTGTTATCAGTGAAAACCAATACGTGTTTCGGAGATGACAAAAATAAAAAAAAATACGTATCTATTCAGGGGCATTATATCTGCTAATTGTGAAAGAAAATTAGGCATGAACAAGAAGCGAATTTTTCAGAAGACCTCATGGTAACGTTGTAGATAACAAGCTCAAACTTGCAATGATACTAATGCGTATTCAGTTTATTTGACCACTTTTTTTTGACTTTATTACGCCTTCACAAGAGAACAAATTTTGCTTCGCAGCAGTATCAAAAGTGGTAGATAACGTACAAACTTGTTCCTATATCGACCGTTTTTACGCTTTTACTGCGTGATTTGCTATATTTGGTTTGCTAGTTTCAGAAACGCTGCTATCGCAGGAGATAACTGCACGTCGGTTACGACAATCCAGAAGAAACGCTCCTACTATTTAGTAGTTTCGTTGCTGTTTCTTCATTTTCGTTCTACAGCATTTGCCACTTTCTGCTTCAAACCTCTGTAGTGTCGCCTTCTAATGGTAGCGCGTTTATGTAGAATTATATGACGTGCAATTTTAGGTCCATATGCTTTGAAAACCGCAAGACAATTATAAATAAAGCTAAAAAAAAGTGATTAAATTTGAAAAAATTGAAAAACAAAGTTCTTTTAGTTTTTTCTCTAATCTGCGAAAAAATTTTAACATTTTGTAGAAATTCTCCTGTGTTACCACAACATTCTTTAATTCTTGAATTCTTGAAATTATAATGCTTAAACGACTTTAGCAGTAGCGGTGCTGAAATAATGCTTCTTGTTGACAAGGAAAATTGGGAGAAGTGTATAGAAAATAAATGGTAAGCGTCGAAACAAAAATGACGGCAAGCGGGTTTTTATGGAGATCAGTTTATACTTAAGTGC